CTCTTCCACGAATGATTCAGAGAACCGAAGGAGAGAAAATGATTTTATTTTGTAACGCCACTGGAAATCCAGTACCGACAATATCATGGATCATAAATGGGTTTTCTTTGGACACTAATAACAGTTCCGGGATGAATTTGTCTTACGAAGGAAAGCAACTCACTATCAAGAATGTGAGAAGAACAGACAGTGCATTGTACCGATGTGTGGCAGAAAACAGTCTTGGAAATGTTACGTCCTATAACACTACCTTGGAAGTGCATTGTAAGTTATGAGTATTTTTAATAAATGAAACCTGAAGTTTTTCTTGTAAAACTGAGACGGTTCATCTTGCTTTCCACGCAAAAGCCTCACTTGGCCATAAAAGCTTTACAAACATTAGATCATATATAACACCCATCAGAGTCTCGTTATCTCTAAAGTCTGAGGGACAATCAACCATAGGGTCGAGATGATGTAGTTATACATAATTATGCTTCCTAATTGACACTGGTTTGAAAGTCGTAGGACAAGTTACCTAAAGGGCCTCTAATAGCGGATTCCAGATTTATTTAGACTGCAAAACCTTGCGGAACTGAACTGGTGAATCTATGAAACTGGTTCATGAAAATATGACATTTATTTATTATATATGCAATTTACACTTCGTTTTGTAAATGTAGATATACCTGGAGTCACAGTGATTGGTGGTCCACAACAGTTTGCAATTGTTGGTAAAGTAAAGAAACTGCTATGCAAGTACGATGCTGTGCCATCCATGTCTGAAGTGCAGTGGATAAAAGATGGAGATGTGATTGCTAGAAATTCTAGTCTGCTGGTCAACGAGTCCCGCCTTACTGTTGCGAATTACAATGAAAGTCAAATACAGTTACTTATAAATCAAAGTACCTCTCACGATGCTGGAAACTACACCTGTCTTGTTATTAATGCTGTGGGTAACTCATCCCAGATGACGTCAGTCATAAGCCAAGGTACTGATTGCTACTAAGCACTTTACAACTGCGTTTGTCTCTTTTTCGTATATTGAAAATTTAAATCCATGGAAGTGTAGGAATCTCATTTACCGTAAGCGCTCTAAGGAGGCATAGAAGGGCTACTTAGTTCCCTCACCATCCGCATGAGTTGCTTATTGGAGAGGCGGGCTTTTGTCCTCATTTTGGAGAAGAGAGGGGAATGAGGATCAGTTCGAGAGAGGAGCCCTGTTAGTGCGTGAACTGTAGCCCATGTGACGTTACAACAGAATCAATGCAATTAGGAAAAATTCATTCAAAATCTTTAGCTACTCATAGATCTTCGCAATGGAACTACTCCGTCTAATGACAAAAAATACTCGATCACAGGCGAAGACCTTATCGTTCACGTGTAGCATCAAAAGTAATTTTTAAGTAAGAATTATCAAGCCCAGTCTGCTTCATTTTTGTCTTAGGAAATCAGGAGCTCTCTTATGTGGGATACAGTGTTTGTTCTATAACTTTTACAAGTTAAAACTACTAACGTATTCTGTTTTAAGAAAAGAACATTTAGCCTCTTGGTTGAAAATACAAATATCGCAAAATGAAGCACAATTTCACTCTATCACTTATGTTTAGAGGGGAAGTTGAATATCAAATTTAACAATTCTTGCTGCTTTTTCACACAGAGCTGCCCTTAATCACCATCCATCCAGAAGGGAAAACTCCAATGGAGGGAGAAAATATAACCCTGTCTTGTAACGCCACTGGAAATCCAGAACCATCAATATCCTGGGTCAAAGATGAATTTCCCATCAACAGCGATTCTAGGATCAACTTTTCACAAGACAATAAGTTATTGACGATAACGAATACAAGCAGAACGGACAGCGGTGAATACCGATGTGTGGCGAGAAATAGAGTTGGAAATGATACCTCAAATTCCAAAGTGAATGTTCTTTGTAAGTGTCGTACACTCTTTGATTTCTAGGTCTTACTTGTTATAACTGTATTTATACTCTTTATCAGTGGCATTGACATCCTGGAACCTTAATTATAAAGTTGTCATATCTCTGCTCTTCCGATGTCGAAAATTGGATGAAATGGTCGTTTATTTTAACCAGAGGTACAATTTACCTTTGGATGCACGCTCTTGATGCCGAAATGGGTAGTGCAGCTGTAGTCTTTTCTCAAATATTTTTTTCTCACTTATTTCATTAAAAATTTTATCGGATCTATTTCATTTTGTTCATTACCTTGTCCGGTACTTGCCTGTTGTAAAATTCATGGGCCGTCGGCTGGTGATCATTTGTTTGTTAAAAAGTTAAATGTTGGTCGACATCAACAAATCTAGAAAGTGAGATTTGCATGCCGCACGTTCGAATTATTTATCAGCTCTAACACC